CAGGAAGAGAATCACATATGCTGTTCAACTATAACAATATACAATCTTGCTCACTATAACAATAAACAATTGCAAACTTGTATTCATAAAGATCACAACTTTATTTTAAAAAAAAACTAGATCTGAGGAAATACCCAACAGGAAATACCCAACAATTATTACCTGTGTTCTTCCATGAAAGCTCTTACAAATCTGTGATTGTCGGTTCAATTGAAAGCTTGCCCAAATCTGAAAGATAAACAAATAAAAAGTTAATAAAAATCAAATCATTTAACATACAAAAACATAAATGGTAAATACCTATGTCTAACTTCTCAAGAGCATCCAAATCTTCTTCAAAGCAAATTTTGCTCGAACCCGGCGTAGCCAACAAGTTTCGAAGCCAATCGGAAGTGCATACTAGGCTTTGTACCATTCTCGGAGTCAATGAGCTCCTAAATGGATCAAGTACTCGGCCACCTGTACTAAAAGCAGATTCAGAAGCAACTGTGGAGATTGGAATAGCTAATACATCACGAACCATCCGAGAGAGAATTGGGAACCTTGCACTATTAACTTTCCAATAAGCTAAAATATCAAAGTTACTTTGATCGGCTTCAACATCCTCGCTTAGAAATTTTTCCAACTCTGATTTTGCTTCGACACTTCCTTTTGCGGCTTTCAACCTTTTAAATTGACTTCTTACATCGGTTATTTGATTAACATCACCACTGTCAATATTATTAGATGAAGCACCAATTGATTGCTCACTTGCATTTTTTTCAGTTGCATATTTAAGCTTGTAGTCATTGAATAATGCAAATGCGGCATCTTTGATGAATTTTAACTTATCAACACTTTCTTTCTCACCATATGTAAGCTCAAGAATAAAAGTCACAAAATCTTCTTTATTTCGTGGATCTAGAAGCGCCGCAATGTAAATCAACATGTTCGTCTTCTCCCAACTTCCCCAATACTTCTCATATTTATCTGTCATTTTATTAGCAATTCTAGCATATAATGCATCTTCAGACAATCTCCATTTTTGCAAATCACAAGCAACATTACCAATTTCTTGAAGAAAAAAATTACTTGTCACATATGAGGAACCTGAAACAAGTAATGTTAGCTTGTAAAATTTTTCAAGCAAAATGCATAACCTTCTCACATTAACCCAATCATCCTCCAATGGCATTCCATGAGCTCCATTTCCATTACTTAGTTCAAATCTAAAGAAGGGATCCTCCTCACCATATCTTTTTAAAGCTTTTTCATATTTTTGAGTAATGTTCAACATCAAATAAGTGGAATTCCATCTAGTGCATACATCCAAACATAAAGATGAACCAAATTCAATTTTTTCTAGTTCAATGCAAGTTTTGAATTTAGCTAATCTAGATGGAGATTGCCTCACATATCTCACCGCCGAACGAACACGAGCAACGGAATCCCCCAAACCTTTGAGCCCATCACTAACAATAAGATTAACAATATGAGCAATGCATCTCATATGAAGATATTTCCCACCCAATATTGTGCCTCCCCAATTGTTGAACCTCTTTTTTAAGTATGCAATCATGGTATCATTTGAACTAGCATTATCAACCGTGATGGTGAAAACATTCTCAATTTCCCAATCTAGTAAACACTTCTCGACCACCTTCCCAAGATCATCTCCTTTATGACTTGAAATAGGACAAAAGTTTATTATTCTTTTGTTCAATTTCCAATCATTATCAATCCAGTGTGCCGTTAAACACATATAATTAATATTTTGAATGGAAGTCCAAGTATCGGTTGTTAGACACACCCTCTGACATGTAGCTTTCAATAAATTCTTCAAATTTTTTTTTTCTTCAAGGTAAATTTCATAGCAATCTCTTTGGATTGTCCAACGAGAAGGAATATGAAATCTAGGGCAAGCGGTTGACATAAAATTTTTAAACCCTAAACCCTCTACTAACTTGAATGGAAGCTCGTCCAAAATGATAAAATAATTAAGGGCTTTTCTTATGGCTCCTTCATCATAACTCCAACTACCAAGGGTTCCCATTTTTGTACTAGATCCACTTTGTGAATCACGATTTGCCTGTAAATTTAATAACTTCTGTCGAGTGTCGACATTATGTGGATGCTTTTTGCAAGACTCCATGTGATTGCGAAGAGCTGTAGTACCATTTTTTTTACAATGTGCAAAATACACTTTTTCACAATACTTGCATTTTGCTTTTGGGTCACCATTTTTATCTTTAAACTTAGTAAAATGATCCCATACCTCCGATCTTCCTTTTATTGCTTTCCTTTTAGTCAAAGTCTGAGAGACTTGTGTAGATTGATTAGAATCAACTTGACTTGCATTTACATTAGGATTCTCCTCTTGAGAAGCCTGCATATTATTTCAACAATTCAACTAAATTAGGGTTTTTAACTTTTTAGCACACTAATATGCATAATCATATCAAAAAATATCAAAACCAATAAAATCAAAACCAAAGTCTTTCTTAACTGGACTAACTTTTGATCATAGAGATACACAGTTCACCTTACATTCTTTTCCAACAAACAGATGCATAATCATATCAAAAAATATAAGATAATGCACATCATAAGAAAAACAAAAGATTTCATTAAAGAGTCAGAACATGTTCTCAGATTTCAAATTACAAAAACAAACCAAAATGCGAACATTAGAAGAAAATGTCATAGGTTCCAATCAGGCAATCACAGCAGAACAAAATCAAAAATGGAGAAGGAAAATACGTGTTTCAATAAAGTCGAATATTTAAATTTTATGAAAACTATTCTATAAAACCTTAGCTGACATAGTTCTCAAAAATATAAAAATTCTAGCTGACATATCATTTGCATACAACATCCTTGTGTCTATAAAGAAAATTATTGATTGAGATGAGATTTTTCAAACAATATAAACACAACGTTGAGAAATGACTGCATTACTTGCACCATATATTAAAATATTATGTGCGAACTAAGAAGAATTATATGATAACATTTGTATTTCTGTCATATATACGATGCCGAACAATGGCAGTAAAATGTACCAATAACCCGATAACGTAAATCTATAAGAAAAAATATCTACAAGTTAATTAAACTCCAAATTATCTCTCTGTAAATGGAATGTATGACATAATTTCACATACTGCGTTGTTTTTCTCCTTTCATTATGTCCCTCGAATAAGCAAACACAGAATTCGACGAAGAGGTCTCCCTGTAAATGGATATACGGATACCACACAATTTCACATAGGATAAAATTCCTTGCATATTATTCACATATGACTTGAGTCTTCTGAAGCATTAACAAGCAAAATAAACATTTTTATCACTCGCATAATTTCAGTACATACGAAAATAAAAACGAAAATATTTACAACAAAGCTCGAACACAACATTCCCTCCCAATTTAGCTATCTAGACTTCTTCAGATATTTACAACAAAACGAAAATAAAATAATCAAATTCATAGACGAATTTAATCGAATTGGGATCTTTGTTCTGATTAAAAGAGTTGGATTCATGGTTTCGAGATCCATTACCACTACCAACATCAGGATAAAAAGTTAAAAACGAAAATAAAATTAAAAAAAATCCACATGACAAGAAAAGCTAAAAGACTGCGGAATAAATTCTGGTGCGGGTGTTATACCTCGGCCTCGGCTTCGGCCTCGGCGACGGTGACTGGTGCGGGTGTCCCCCCCAAAGCCGGAGGTACATCTGGAGCCTGATCTTGAGGCGGAGTTAGATCCATGAAGTATTGAAGACCGCGGAAATGGGGAAACTGGTGCGGGTGTCGGCTGTCGTGGGTGGCCGCTGTCGGCTATCGTGGCCGTGGGTGGCCGCTGTCGGCTGAGGAGAGTGAGAGAGAGCGAGAGTCGAGGGATTGAGGGATGAGGCCGAGGGAGTAGCGGCGGCTGGGAGGAATGAGAGGAGAGGAACTGAGGAAATGAAAATAGGGTTGAGAATCTTGAGACTTGAGGGTTTGGGACGGGTCGGGTAAGTGGGTAACGCAAACGGGTGTGAAATTTGGGTGTGAAATTCGGTCGGTTCGGGGCGGCAAATTACCCTTCTTCCCAATTAAAACTCAATCCATTTCC